TTTATTATTATAAAATTAAGTGTTATTCTCAATTGAGCCATGAGGTACACTGTGATAACTTTTCTTTTACTGGATATTTTTGTTTTCAGTGAACTTTTACTGCTTTCTTTGTAATATGTTTTTCTTTGTACTTTCTTATTAATTTTATTAACATTAAACTCTCTTCCTACTGTGCATAACTCTTTCTGTTCAAGTACAGTATATATTAGCCCCATATCAAACTGTAGAAGAATAATCTCTTTGGAGGCCTTTTGAGTTTCTTTAGATCCTTTTCACCTTCATTGCCTGGCCCAAGTTTAGCTGCTTACCGCACAACAGGCCAATTAAGTCTGGAGACAAGGTGTTGAGGCAGAAAAGGTGACTTTATTCAAAAGGCCAGCTAGATGAGAAGTAGGAGCTTCTTATCACAAAACCCATCTTGCTGGGAAGTTGTTCAGGATTGGTTTTTCTAGGTAGTTGCTGGATGTTTCCAGATTGGTTGGGTACCTTCTCGAAGTGGGTGGGCCAAGTGATTTACATCTGATCCTTTATTGTCTGAGATGCTTCTGAGTTCTACACAAAGATTTTTTTTTTTTTTGTCAGTCGTGGGACTTGAACTCTGGGCTTGGGCACTGTCCCTCAGCTCTTCAGCTCAAGGCGAGTGCTCTTCCACTTGAGCCACAGCACAACTTCCGGTTTTCAAGTGGTTTATTGGAGATAAGAGTCTCACAGACTTTCCTGCCCAAGCTGGCTTTGAACAGCGATCCTCAGACCTCAGCCTCCTGAGTAGCTAGGATTACAGGCGTGAGCCACCGGCGCCTGGCTACACAAAGATTTTTATTTCCTCAGGATATCCTTGTCACTGAATAGTTTACCCATGTGCAGTTCCTGGCATATTACACAATGGACAGGCTGGAGCTGGAAGCTGCCCTGAGGCCTCTTGCTTATTGCCAGACATCATGACAACATCCTTAATGCTTAGCTTCAATCTCTCTTTTTGGTTAGATTCTTAGTTTGATTATCCCCATGTCTTTATTTTATCAAATAAAGCTTTCTTAGAATTGCATCCTTAATTTTGTATGGCACCTTGTTTTGTTCCCTTTGAATCCTTTCTCTATCCACCACCTCCCCATTCCAAGATTTTTACCTTAGGTTTATGTTGACTTCTCACATTAGACACTTTCATTTATAATTTTTTCTTAAATTATTTACCCAGAGAGTTTCCCCTCTTCCTTTGTCTTTGCTGACTCATTCTAACATAACTGTTACCCAGATGTCATTCCTCAAATATCCATATCCCTCTTTTTTCTTATTCCTATTCTTTGTCATTTTGTTAACTTTCTCTGAACTTTCTTCTTTATCTTCCAAACTTTGTATTGAGGTTTTTGCTCCTTCCAGCTTACTTTTAAAATTGTTATTTTTTATCCCAGGGGCATTTTCTAAAATGTATTTAGTAGAAACACCAGTCCCGAAAAATGCTGTGCATAAAGAATTCTTACAAACATATAGGGAGTTTAGTCACATTTGTAAAGGTATGTATGTATGTTTATACTAATCCATCAATGCTTAGAGACTTATCTCTTTCATGATCTCTCAATTTTGAATAGATTTTTTTTAATTTTTTGTTGTTGTTGGTCGTGGGGCTTGAACTCTGGGCCTAGGCACTGTCCCTCAGCTCTTCAGCTCAAGGCTAGCACTCTACCACTTGAGCCACAGCGCCACTTCCAGCTTTTTCTGCTTATGTGGTGCTGAGGAATTGAACCTTATGCATGCAAGACAAGCACTCTACCACTGAGCCACCTTCCCAACCACTGAATAGATTATTTTTTAGAAAGGTTTGAGGTTCACAGAAAAACTGAGTAGAAGGTACAAATATTTCCTCTATACTCCCTGCCCCCCATGTATGCAGAGCATCCCTCATCATCAACATCACCCCTGCCCCTGAGAGCTACATATGTTACAATTGATTAACTTATTTGACATTATTAAATATTTCCAAAGCCCATAGTTTGTATTAAGGCTTCCTCTTGAGGTTTTATATTCTGTGGGTCTTGACAGATGTATAATGACATGTACCAACCATAGTATCATACTCATTGCCCAAAAAAGCCATCTCGGCATCTCCCCTAACATCTGGAAATCAATGATTATTTTCTTTCTCCATTGTTTTGCCTTTTCCAGAATGTCATGTAGTTGGAGCCATATAGTACATAGACTTTTCAGATCAGTTACTTTCATTTAGTAATAACCTTTATGTTTCTCCTTTGCTTTTTTTAGGGTAGGGATAAGGATCAAACTTGGGACTTTGTACATGGTAGACAAGTACTCTACTACTGCCCTACATCTTTAGCCCCCCTCCCATGTTTGTTTATGGCTTGATAGCACATTCTATAAACATCCGTGTGCAGGTTGTTTTAATCAAACTTCTCTAATGACTCATCACAGTGGCTTTATCTGCATTTTTTTGCTTTAGTTATTTATCAAATAGGATCTTGCACATTTTGCCCAGATCTACCTCCAACCACAATCCTCCTACCTATGCCTCCAAATAGTGGGATTTACAGTTGTGATCTTCATGTCCAGCTTCTTAATTAAGATGCAGTCTTGTTCACTTTTTGTCTGGGCTGGCTTCACACTGCAATCCTCCCAGTCTCTCTCTTCAGTAGCTGGGATTATGAACAGCACACCCAGCCCCTTGGAGTTTTAAGAGAAGGGGGCATTTTTCCTGGATAGACCTAACATTTTACATATTTTGGATAGCAGTTTGCTATCAGCTAGGTCTTTTAAAAATATTTTCTTCCAAGCTGTAGCTTCTTACTTTAATAGCTCCTTTTGCAGAGAATTTTTTTTTCACTTTATTCAAGTCCAGCTTCTCGGTTATTTCTTCCACTAATTATGCTTTGAGTGTTGTATCTACAATGTCATTGCCATACTCAAAGTTATCTAAATTTCTGCCTATATTGTTTTCTAATTGTAAAGTTTTGCATTTTACATTTAAGCCTATTGTCCATTTTGGGATTGTTTTATTTTGATTGGGGTTTTTGTCTTGTTTTTGTGTCAGTTCTGGGACTTGAACTCGGGGCCTGGGTCTTGTCCCTCAGTTTTTGTGGGGATTTTATTGCTTTTTTTTTTCTCTACCACTTGAACAACAGCTTCACTAATGGATATTTGGTGGTTAATTGGTGATAAGAATCTCAAGGACTTTCCTGCCCAGTCTGGCTTTGAACTTTTATCCTCAGATCTCTGCCTCCTGAATAGCTAGAATTACAGGTGTGAGCCACACACACCCAGAATGTTATCCATTTTCAATTAATTATTTCAAGAGTATAACATCTATGACTAGATGTTTTGCTGTTGCTGTTTGGCTTTGTTTGGGGAAGGGAATCATGACTATCTAGTATCACAAATTGTTGAAAAGATTGCTTTTTACATTGCATTGTCTTTGTTCTTTCGTATTTTTGTGGGTTTATTTTTGGGTGTTGTATTCTGTTCCATGGATCTAATTGTCTATTCTGTTGCTAAATATTACTTGGTTGAATAGTTTTATAGTAAGTCTTGAGGTCAGGTGGTGTCAGTCCCCCATCCTTGTGATCCTTCAACTCTGTATTAGTTATGCTGGACTTTTGCCTCTTCATGTAAAGTTTAAATTCAATTGTGATTACCACAAAATGACTTTCTGGGATTTTGATTAGAATTGTGTTTAATCTCTAAATCAAGCTGGGAAGAACTGATACCTTGACAATATTGAGTCTTCCTCTTCATGCTGTCCATTTATTTAGTTCTTTTCCTATTTATCAGTTTTGTACTTTCCTCATATAAGTCATACAAGTGTATTTTGGTAGGTTTTTGTTGTTGTTTTTGTTTTTTTGTCGGTCATGGGGCTTGAACTCTGGGCCTGGGCGCTCTCCCTCAGCCCACTTCAGCTCAAGGCAAGTGCTCTACCGCTTGAGCCACAGAGCCACTTCACGTTTACTGGTGGTTTGTTGGAGATAAGAGTCTCATGGACTTTTCCTGCCTGGGCTGGCTTTGAACCTCAATCCTCAGATCTCAGCCTCCTAAGTAGCTAGGATTACAGCTTGAGCCACTGGTGCCCAGCTTATTTTGGAAGTTTTATACCTACATATGTATGTTTTTATTGAATTGTAAATGGTATTGCTTTTTTTTGTCAGTTGTTGGACCTGAACTCTGTTCCTGGGCACTATCCCTCAGCTCTTCAGCTCAAGGCTTGTGCTCTACCACTTGAGCCACAGCACCACTTTTGGCTTTTTCTGGTTATGTGGTGCTGAGGAATGAACCCAGGGCCTCAAGCATGCAAGGAAAGCACTCTACCACTGAGCTACCTTCCCAACCCAGTATTGCATTTTTAAACTCATAATTTTTTATATCATGAAAGTAATTGACTCTATGTATATTAGCTTTATTTTCTGCAACCTTGTTATACTTGCTTATTAGTTCTAGAGGTATTTTTGTCAGTTCATTCAGATTCTCTGCATAATCATATCATCTATGAACAAAGAAAAGTTTCATTTTTCTTTTCGAGTATGTATATCTTTTATTTATTTTTATTGTCCTATCTTAGCCGAGACTTCCAGGACGATGCTGAAAAGGGGACAGAAATATATCTTACAATCTCATTTCTCTGACAGACCTAAGATTGTTGGTTTTTCAGTTTGTTCTGGGTTTTTCTTGTTAGGATGAAGTGGTGCTTTCCATCCTACTTATGTGACAGATCCTCTCAAGTTTTTTTAACGATTCCAATTCTAATTTAATGGAGGCAATAGAAAATCAAAACATTGTAATATATTTTAGATATCTTTATGACATTAATATTGGAAAGATTTGTTAAAACAAGACAGTAACCATAAAAGATAAAATATAAGAGAAATACATTCTACTAGTTAAAGTTAAGACATGGCACAGTTGGGGTAGCTCCATTGAGACAGATGATTGTTTATTCACATAGCTAACAAAGCTGTTACTTTTTTTCCACACAGACTTCTCCAAAATGTAGCTTGGGCTGACTCATACCATAGGTTCTAAAAGCAAGTGTTTTCAAGATACAGTAGAGGCTACCATTTTCTTAATGCCTAAGCCCCAAACTTCCTATTGTCCCAAGCTTCCATCACATCATTTCTACCATATTCTATTGATCAGTCAGTCACACAGCCCAGATTAATGAGGAGGGGTTCCTGTATGCACTGTATGCATAAACATTTTAGCTTATCACTTACCTTACATTTAATCACAGGATATGTCAAGGCAGGTGATGCTTCTATTATTTTCTTTGGGAAACTTAACTATTTCATTGAGTCATCTGACACGTTTACTATTTTCATGTCCTATAAGCAAAAGTCTCATCAAATTGATAGGCATTTCCTAGCAAATGTCTCCTCTCCTTATCTTCCAATAGATTTTCCATATTTTCCTTTAAACACTCAATGACAGCCTCTTGGAGAACCATTAGGCTTCCATCAAAACCTTTCAAAGAAGCAGGAGTTATATATCTATCTTTTCATAGCCACTTATCACTTTTCATTATTCACCTTATTTCTCTGAGTTTTCAGTGATTTCAGTAGAATAATTGAATTGCCTGACATGGAAATCCTAACTAGTTCTTAACAGACTTCAACTAATCTTTTTTTAGATCCACTTTACAATCAACTCTAGAGGCACCTATTTCCTATTTTGCCTACACTTCTCATAAAGTAGGAGATGAAACACTTACCATTCTCTATTCCTGCTTTAGAGATTCCAGCTTTTCTGAGTCTGATAATTCAGTTGCTACTTTTCCAGTGTGCTGTCCAATTTCAGAATTTTATTGCTTGCTCTTGTTATCTGGCTTAATAGCTTCAGAAAAAAACAACTAAATGTACATATTAAATTTATCTTGATTGTAGTTTTCATTTCTTTGCTTTTTCTCCTATTTCCTTCTCCATTCCACCTGTCTGCTTTCTATTTTCTATTTTCTTCTCTCCAGGTTGCTTTTCCTCAAATTACAGCTATGAAAGTGGTGATTACTCAGAGAACATTTAGTTTGTTTAACTCCCTTATCTTACATATGGTGAACCTGACAGACAAAAAGAATTGTAGACCAACCACCCACAGCCCACATAGCCACTGCCCTGATCTTTGGGCCCTCCTACCCCTTCAGTAAATGCAAGAAAGAAAGAATTCCCATTAGTAGAGGCCTGAAAGCAGACCAAGGGAGAAGAAACATCTCCACTAAGAACTGCCTGAATCTCTTGTGCTCCTACCCCTTGACCCCACAGGGCTGCAATCAGGAGGGTACCCAGCTGCCTAGACAGGAGAACTGGTCAAATAAAAGAACAAAGATATGAGACTATTTTCTCTCTTTTTTTTCTGTTTTTTTTTCTACAGTCTTTGAGCCTGAGTGTTGATGTAGACAATAACAAAAGAACTCTTAAGTCTTAACAGAAAGCAAAGGCAAGTGACTAATGATGTGATTATTCTAAGCCTGGTGTCAGGCATACAAATACACAAGTGCACTCTTGTTAATATTGCTGTTGCCCCAGGTCTTTGCATATATAAGGTGAGAGGCACCAAAAACATGTGAGGTAACCAAATATAGAAAATGGAAGCACATACACCTGGGACCTTGTTTAGATGATCTTTTCAGAGCTCAGAAAACAAAGTTCTGGTCTGAGCTGCTGTCCCAGCAGACTGTTCCAGAGCCCTTTGTCATGGAACTTGAATTGGAGGCAACCGAGCTCAGTCTTTTCTAGACACCTGTACCCTACCCTTTATCCCCACAGCATTAAAGCAACTTAGCTACTGGGAATTCCCATGAAGGCCAGAGCCCAGAGTGTAGTAGGTTAAAGAGGACTATCTTCTAACGTCTCTACCCCAAGCACTCTTGGACTATCTTCTAACTCTCTGATTCTACAAGGTTTCTTGTCTTCTATAGTTTGTGTGTACTTGAACAAGAATGGCAGCACAGGCCCCCACTTAGATAAGAAGAAGATCCAGCAACTCCCTGACCATTTTGGGCCAGCCCGTGCCTCAGTAGTATTGCAGCAGGCTGTGCAGGCTTGCATCGACTGTGCTTATCACCAGAAAACCGTCTTCAGCTTCCTCAAACAGGGCCACGGCGGCGAGGTCATCTCAGGTAAGTACCTTTGTGTTGGTATGGATTCCTGGCTAGAAGGGCAGGTCTTCTCTACTAGCTAATTTTTGATAAAATGTTCTGGTTCTTATTTTACACCTATAGGCACTGGAGAAATGTGAAAGTATTCTATTCCTTAGGTCCTCATTTTCAACCTCCAAGTTCCCTGAGCCTTATATATACCTTTGCCAAGAATATCAAGCAGACTCTGCCCCTCCTGTCTTTTTTTTTCTATTGGTGGGTCATGAGGCTTGAACTCAGGGCCTACATACTGTCCCTGAGCTCTTTTGCTCAAGGCTAGTGCTCTTCCACTTTGAGCCATATCATCACTTCCAGTTTTTGAGTGGTTAATTGGAGAGTCTCTCCGGGACTTTTCTTCCCAGGCTGGTTTCAGACTACAATCCTCAAATCTCAGCCTCCTGAATAACTAGGTTACAGTCATGAGCCACCAGCACCTAACCCCATTCTAGAGGAAGAAACCAGAGCAGCTGTGTGGTGGTGGCGAGATTTTCTCTAGACAGTTACAGTCTCCCACTGGCTTTAGAGAACTTCTGAACTCTTTTCTCGTTCTTTTGACTCCTTAGCATTCCTTAGCACCAAGTCCCACACAAGGAAGCTGAATCTCAGATCAGAGAAGAAGCATTCCCTTTTTCTTTCCTGCTGTGAAAACTTGAACAGCATAGTGATTTTAGCTCTTTCTGAAAATATTCACTTTCCATTTTTATGTCACTTTTCCTAAGCCCCAAATCCTATTCTTTTACCCATAAAATCTCTAAAGGCAGAAAGGAAACCCAGTTGACATGGGAGATCCTACAAATAACCAAACCGTTCCTCGTTAAGGAACACTTATTCATTCTTTACTGAATGTCAGAGCAATAACCAGCCAGACACTGGTGGGAAAGAGGGAAGAGCAGAAATAATAGGTTTACAACTGTATCAGTTAAAAAAAATAATCTAGCCAGGCACCAGTGGCTTATGCCTGTAATCCTAGTTACTCAGGAGGCTGAGATCTGAGGATCATGGTTCAAAATCAGCCCGGGAAGGAAAGTCCATGAAATTCTTTTTTTTTGGGTCCAGTCGTGGGGCCTGAACTCTGGGCTTGGGTGCTGTCCCTCAGCTCTTTAGCTCAAGGCTAACGCTTTACCACTTGAGCCACAGCGCCACTTCCGGTTTTTTTCTTTTTGCTTATATGGTGCTGAGGAATCAAACCCAGGGCCTCATGCATGCAAGGCAAACACTCTATCACTGAGCCACCTTCCCAGTCCCACCATGAAACTCTTATCTCCAATAAACCACCAAAAAGCCAGAAGTGGCACTATAGCTCAAGTGGTAGAGTTCTATCCTTGAGCTGAAGAGCTGAGGGACAGTGCTCAGGCCAGAGTTCAAGCCCCATGACCAACAAAAAAAAAAAAATCTAAACAGAAAACTGTGAGAAATATTATAATAGAGAAATGGTGGGGAACTGAGGCAGATTTAAGGAGTAATTGGCTGTATATGGAGGATGTAGCAGACAAAGAGAATTATGACAGAAGGCTAGCAACTGAGTAAGCCTATATCCCTTTTGAGATCCAGGCTTGGACTCTCCTTTGCAACAGTATTCAGGGACTGGGCTTTGTTTACTATCCCTAGTTGCTTTCACCTCTACCTCTGCCCCAGGATATCTCCTCTGCCTCAAAACTCGTTCCTGAGAGTGACCTTTCTCACCTTTTTGCTTTTTTATTTATTTTAATAGAAATAGGAAATAAAATAAAATGAAGCATAAAACATTTCTAAACGTTGCCAGAATTCTAATTCTAGTACATACGTGTGTGTGTGTGTGTGTGTGTGTGTCTGTGTGTGTAAAGTTGTGAGTAGTGTACCCAAACTATTTTGCTGGCAATAGCTTTGTTTTCCTCTTCATTTCTTGATCAGTTCTTGTGAAAACAGCACCCTAAATGAGCATAGTTCCTGGAAGAAGCCCAGCCAAGTGATGGAACAGATAGAATTATGTTCACAGTTGTTTTCACAAGTTGAGTGAAATCATTCCAAAGCCCTGAAGGCACAGCAGACCTGGCCTGGCCACTCCCATTATTGCATGCCCTTTGGAGTTGGAGGCAAAAATCAAAACCCTCAAGGGAGGGAGGGTACTCCAGGGAGGTAGCCAGCCTGAGTGTTCATTGCCTTTGTGTGACCAGGTAAGCGCTTTGACCAACAGCAGGCTGTGCTCCTTCTGCCCTGTGTTGCACTTTGCTATGCTGACTGCTGACATGCATGGCTCTGTTTACTGAACTCCACAGCCGTGTTTGACCGAGAACAGCATACTCTCAACCTCCCAGCAGTCAACAGCGTCACCTACGTCCTCCGCTTCCTGGAGAAGCTCTGCCACAATCTTCGGAGTGACAATCTGTTTGGCAACCAGCCTTTTACGCAGACTCACTTATCTCTCGCTGCCACAGAGTACAGCCACAGCCACGACAGGTACCTACCAGGTAGGAGCTGGGACGGGGCCTAAACTCAGATGGGGATAGGACTGGTAGCAGTACCTGCCGGGACTCAGGGCCAGCCCTCAGGCCTGTCAGTCTGACGGAAATCTGTTTTTTCTGTCCCTTACCTTTGCCACATCTGCAACGCCTCTGAGACTTTTTGGTCTCCTGTTATCTTTACTGGCTTTAGGATTTCATTGTCTTATCTATTGGATTATTCTTCTTTCCAGTTGACCCTTATCTTTAGAAACTGGCTTATGATTCCCTTCTGAGCTTCAAGTCACATGTGGAGCCCCCCATGAAGTCACAGTATATTTCCCAGTGTGAAGCTGGTGCCAGAGGCCTAATATAGCCTCTCCCTTGCCAGCAGGAAGGTTTAGTTTTAGGCTAGAGATTGAGAAACTTACTCCCTAGTGATTGGCCATCTGTTCTTTCCTTTGGCATATAGCCCTAATTCTTCCAGCATTGCCAGTCTAGCAAGTCAATTCAAGTTCCTGCTGTTTCCAACTAGGCTGGAAAATATCTTTGTTAGTTAACATACCAGACCCACAATGGGAAAGCGGATGCCACGTGGCTGAGTCAGTGACTAAGCACTTCCGAGAGAGCTTAAAGAGTGAATGGAGCTCGGCATCTCTAATCTGGAGTACAGGACACAGAAGAGAAGGAGGGAAGGAAAGCTTGGCCCTAAATATAGTGAGGTAGGTTGCTATTGAGAGGGAGGGCTGGCTCTTTAAAGAGACCTGTGAGCTGTGGCCTGAGTAGAGGAGCAGAAAAGAGGTACTGTCAGCCTGGGCCTGCACTGTCTGCATGGGAGACCATGCATCTGAAGTGTGCCACTGCAACTTACACAAGGTTTACACCCATGCTCCCTTCTCTGTCATCTGTTATCATAGTCTGCATGGAATCGCTTCCAATTAAGGTGCCACTTCTGCAGAATGGGCTCAGAATGATGACTATTCACCCATTTCCCTTCTCCCTTGCCTCTTCTGTACTTCTGTACCCAATTAAGCATTGCTGTGTGACTTGTGGATGGAGGAAAGAAAGATAGATGAATTCCACATACTCTGGGGCGGTGGGGGGGGGGGTCAGGCCATGTGGTCCCTACAACTGTACCCATGTACTCTCCTGGCTGGAATTCTCTAAAATACTTTCTATCAGTATCAGAACATCTGAGAACAGACCTGCAGAACAGACCTGGACATGGTGTGATTGGTATAGATAAAAGCAAGTTGTTAAATATTTCTGGCCATTGGAATTTGGGAACTCTGAGCTAGAATTCAAGAATAAAAATTTAGGCCTACTTGGGATTCTGAAAGCCATGATACATTAGAGGGAGTGGCATGTCCATGAGGGCAGCTGTTAATTAGAGATTTCTTAGAGAAATAGGAACTTGCATTTCATTGTTTATTTTCTCAGTGCTGGGGTTTGAATTCTGCTTGCTAAGCAAGTACTCTACCCTGGAGAAACTTAGAATTTTTTTTTTCTTTTTCAATCCTGTTTGAATCCAGCCCACATGCTATGCCAGACTACAATGCAGTGCATGAACTAGTTAGCTTCAGTATCACTTTCTCTCCTTTTTAACCACCAAGACCAGTGTTCAGATCCAATGGGAAATGGAAGAATGTTCAGAATTTTAATTTAGTACTGGAATAGAGAAAACATATAGCAGCATTCAGTGATTGATCAGCACCTGGGCATCATAGGCCTGCAATCATGAAACTAGTTTGGAATTTGAGGCATCACTTTTTCTGGAAATTCTGTTCCAGTTTATATCTCTGTGATTCACACAGCTTCTGCCAGATTCTTCCTGCCTCACCCACTAAGAAAAGACAAAGTATAGTGGTATCACTTTCTGTCTCTGGCTTCCACCATTCCTTGTTCCCATTTCCAGACAGATTGTTCCAATTTCAAGTCCTACTCTGCTCTGAAAACTTGGTTTTTCATGGTCAGCACACAGTATATTGATCTGCTCCCATAATGTCTTCTATTTACTTCCCAGAATATGTTTTAACTGTGCCCAGACAAGCCAGAGACTTGCCTGGACTTCTGACTACTCTCTACTTCATACTTTTCTTTCCTGCCCACTTACTTGTCTACTGCCTGGTTTACTGACCCTTTGCCTCTGATATTTTGTCAGCTCCTATGTTTTTCTGCTTGCTTCCTTACCTGACTTCTGCTAATGAGCTCCATCTATTCAATAGCTGTCTTTCACCTTCTGCTTTGGATCTGATATTTACCACTCGTGCGCATATGCCTGGTTACATACTCCTAATAGTCTAACATCCATAGGTACTGCTTCTTTTGTTTAGGTGCTTCCTGGAGCCTTCTTCCCTCCCTCCTGCCTTGTAAGACACTACCCTACACCTACAGCTATCACTCGTCTGTCCACATGCACTTGATAATATGACACATAGCCACCAGAAGTTCAGATAGATATTATCTTGACCTAAGTGGAAGCTTAACTTTTTTCATTGTTTCATTATGAAAGCTTTCAAACCTACAGAAAAAGATGCAAAAAAAAAAGTTCAGTGAGCAACTATGTACCCTTTACCTAGATTTATCACTTATTAGTGTATATGACTTGTACAAAAGATTATGCCATATTTTACATATGCATATAATAGACATTAACCCCTTCTATTGCTCTCTTTTCATCCTCTTTCCCCACTACTTTTCAAAAGCTTTCAGTGGGTTTCTTTATGCCATCTTCATACATAGATACAATGTGTTTCAGTATTGTTTACCTTCCTTCATTCTCTTTTCCTCTCACCCTTTCTTTGGTCCCCCTTCAGCCAGTCTTATAATTACAGTCATGCTTTATAAATTTATATGTACATATATTCATAAATACATATTAATATATTAGGGACAGATTCTTTGAATGAAAGAAAACACATGAACTTTATTTTTCTGAACCTAGATTACTTAGCTTAACATTATGATCTCATTATACAAATGACATAATTTCATTTTTTACTGTGTGTGTGTGTGTGTGTGTGTGCAGGCACATACACACACACACACACACATGCATGCTACTACTAGAGATTGTACTCAGGGGCTTGTGATCTCACTTAGCTTTTTTGCTCAAGGCTGATGCTCTCCCATTTGAGCCACACCTCCAATTTTAGCTTTTTGGTTAATTGTAGATAAGAGACTCACAGACTTTTGTGCCCAGGCTGGCTTCAAACCATAATCCTCAAATCTCAACCTCCTGAATAGCTAGGATTACAAATGTGAGCCACCAGTGCCCAGCTAATTCCATTCTTTTTTTATGGCTGCATAATAATTCCGTTGTGCATGTATACATTGACTTTATACATTCATCAACTGACTAGACTGATTACATAGCTTGGTTATTGTGAGTAGTGCTGCACTAAACGTAAGTGTGCACTTTTTTTTTCTTTTAAAACTTTTTATTTTTTTTTAAATTTTATTTTATTTTATTTGTGAACATACTGTACAGAGGGGTTACAATTACATGGGCAGGATAATGCGTACATTTCTTACCAAGCATTGCAGCCTCCTCCTTTAAGTGTGTACTTTTTTGCAATAGTTCTTTATCTTTCTAAGTACATATACATACATTTGTATCTGTATATTTCATATACATATTTGTACTGGGTTTTTGTTTATTTACTGAGCTGAGAGTTAACTGCAGATGAAAATGTATCTTTAACTACTTCTGTGTTTAGCTCTTAAAAATAAGGAGCACAAAACTCCAGTGTAATAGTTGTACATGGCTGTGAGCCTAGCATTCAGAGGCAGAGGACTACATATTGAAACCCAGGGTAAATTATATATTGAAACCTTTTCTCAAACACTCCCCTAAGCTAAAAAAAAAAAAAGGAATAAGGGCACAATACTATTATTATACTTAAGAACCTTGACATAAATAAAATAATAGTGACTGATATATAGTCTGTATCAGAATTTCCCTCAGTTGTCCCAATAATGTCCTCTTATAGAGCTGTTTCATTTTTTCTAATCCAGGAAGAAAGTATTGTCTGCTGCATTTCATTGTCTCATCTCTTTATCTTCCTTGATCTAAAACAGTTCTCTAGGCTGGGTGCTGGTGACTCACACCTGAATCCTAGCTAGTCAAGAAGTTGAGATCTGAGGATCATGGTTCAAGCCAATCCAGGCTAGAAAGTTTATAAGACTCTTATCTCCAGTTAATCACCAAGCTGAAAATAGAGCTGTGGCTCAAGCAGTAGGGAGCTCACCTTGAGCTCAAAAGCTCAAGGACAGCACTCAGGCCCTGAGTTCAAGCCTCGGGATCAGCACAAAAGAAAACAAAAAGTTCCCCAGTCTTTTCCATCTTCCATCATATGCACTGGTATTTTGAAGGCTCCAGCCTAACTGTTTTGATTTAGATCACCCTGCCACTTCTATACTAGCCTCTAGGAAGACAAACAGCACAGTCTCAGTCTCTGTATCCAAAGAACTGAAATGGGGAGAGATATGTGAACATGTATGCTAGGTTAAGCTGGGCCCAGTGACTATTAATTTTAACTATAACTGAAATCTTTCACCCATTAACCTCTACCTCTGTTGTTCTGAGATTTTTCTGGATTCCTCTCTGCAAGTGATTCACTTGTTCTAGAACAATGAGTTCCTTTTGCTTTTCTTTCTAACTTCTAGAAGTGGTTCTCCTGCCAAAATCTCAAGACACACAGAGATAAACATCAAATAAGAACTGTGAAGTCTTTTAGGGTACCCCTTATCACCACAGGTTTTCTCATACGTTTTCTCAGACATTTTAGGTGATTCTTGTATTCATAGTTAATTGAAGCACATAATTACATATGACACATAATTACTTCCCTCCTAACTGGACTCTTCTTCATACCAGCTTATACATCATGTTGTCAGGGAGACCTTCAGTTGTCCATATTTAAGAAGAGACTCCTGATACTGTCTTCTGAAAATTGTGTTTCTTTCCTTCATAAGATTTACAATGTTCCAGTTTTTAATCATCCTCTCCATTTAACTGTGTCAGGAGGAGAGAGACAATCTCCTAGGATTTTTGTTGTTGTTGTTGTTTTGCCATTCTCACTATCACTTGAAGTCACATGGTAAACAGATGTATTATCTTTAAGTAGTTATACAAAGGGGTTTCAATCCAACATGTCAATCTGTGAGTGCAATTGCATCTTGACCAATGTTCCCCTTTTCATCATTCTTCCCCATCCCAACCCTACCTATCCCCATATGCTAAGCCTTTAAATAGTATTTCCTGGATGAGAGAGCATCAGACGATGTGGAACATATGTTCAGATAAAGATGTTCTTCAACACGGGAGTATCTGCAGTATGCACAAAGACTAACTATCCTAGTGCCAGGAGTTTCCTAGGTGGGAAGAGTGGGGTGACTCAGATCAAGATGCTTTGTACACACAAATAGACACGTTAAATTGAAACAACTAAAGATTCTTTTTTAATTCTTAAAATTCACAATTCTGACTTCATGTTTACTTAGTTCACACTCAGGACTAAGCTTGGTTGTAAGCATAGAATCCATGAAACTCTAAAGTAAAAGTGCTTTTGAAATGATCTAGCAGTTATCTGACCTCTGCTTTGAGATTCCCAATGACATATTGCTCTCTTTTGGCTTATAGCACTTAATTTTATTGTTAAGACAGTTCTGATGGCTAACATGTCTTTTTTTACCTGAAATATGCCTTCTTATAACTCCTAGTATCTGCATTCCTACAGAACAAATCAAAATCTCTAGTCCTCTTTCCTTCCTAGGCTGCCCTTAAGGTATTTGTCTCCCATGACTTTCCTCCACTTTTTTTTTCCTTTTTTCCTTTGCCACGATCTCAATACTCCTTACCATCATGTTGGCCTACCTTCCACTAGGAATATTAGTCTCTCAAGTCTGCTTTGCAGTGGGATTCTCTGAGAACAGCTGTTTCTTACTATTAACAGGGCAGTGCTTTCCTGCTTACATACTTAGCAGAGTGGAAGCACAGTATTCAACTTTGAGCAACACTCAGTCACTATACTGGTTTCTGCCTGTTTTCATCCATGACCTGGATGTGGAAACATCAATGTAGAATTCCCTTTTCAAAGATCTTTATGGCCATTCACTTCTAATATTTATAGATCCATTGGAAGGCTTCCAACAGGCTTCCCATGGTTTAATGAGTAAATTGAGGTTTTTTGAGAATTCTCTGATGCATGCCAGAGCCAAATTCTAGCCTGCTTTCCATGCCCAACTCTCCCCAGCATTTATTCCCAGCTTCTTTGGAATGTTTGTATAGAACAAGGTAATTACAAATAGAGGGGTAGATCCTTTACAGACATTTCTTTAACTAGGCATCAAGAAGCACTTTTTTTGTTTGTCATAGGGCTTGAACTCAAGGCCTGTGTGCTGTTCCTGAACTTTTTTCTCAAGGCTAGTACTCCACCACTTGAGCCACAGCTCCACTTCCATTATTCTGATGGTTAGTTGGAGATGAGCCTCATGGAATTACCTGGCTATGCTCGCTTTGAGCTTCAATCTTCAGATCTCAGCCTCCTGAATAGCTAGGATTACAGGCATGAGCCACCAGCAGCTGGCGGAAGAAGCATTTCTAATATGTTCTACTGGTTGATGAAAAATGTCTGGTTGATGAAAGTGTCTACTTCTAAAAGGCCCTCATCTGGGCAATGATTCCTTCTCCACCAGCTAGCATCTTGCAACTAAGGCAATCTCTTCTACTCTAGAGTCACTCCAGTTTTTTTCTTAATTTTCCTCATTATGATAAAGCCTAGAACATCCAGACCTGGAAAAACGCTGTGACTATCCAGTGTAAGAAGTTTCTAAAGAAACATAAATCCAGAGTCCGGGGGGTGGGGGGGAACAAATCTGAACTTGGTAAAGTCACCTAGTAAAAGCCAGAGCCATGACTGATATACAGGCCTCTAGAGCAAGGCTTTCTTAACTGCCTCTTGCTTCACTCAGAATGCATCTGGGAATCAGCATTCTAGTAGGCCTTCCATCCTGCTCTAATCCTGGTTTTATTGTTTTCCAGGTGAAACCTTTGACCTGAGGAATAGTCTGGCACGATCCTTGGAGCCACACTCAGACTCAATGGATTCTACTTTGAATCCCACCAACCTTGTCCGTACCTCCTCAAATCTTCGAGCACCTGGGTATGGACCCTTAATTCCCTCCTGTGGCCTCCCACCAAGTACCACCTCCGCTGTGCGCAGGCTATGTTCCAGGGGTAAGCTGACCCAGAGTTCTGGCCCCCTGCCATCCCTTCCTTTTTCCTTCTGTTCTCTCAAAGCTCTAGGAGGCCAGGGGAACTTAGCTCTGATGTTTCTTTGCATACTGTGCCTGACCAGGAGTAAATGGGAGCTCCAGAATTAGCTTGAGAATAACAAACTAAGAGCCAGATATCAGAAGCCAAAAGAGACAAGGAAGGATTCATTCCTTCATTCAACTATTTATTGAAACACCAAGTATATTTGGCTTAGTAACATAAAAATCATTTTTCCTTAATGACTTATAGCGGGGAAAAAAACCTTAAAAAGACAATTGTGAAAAGTTCAATACAAAAACATGGATTATATGAAACTTCAGGAAGGGATAGCCAACTTTCAAGAGATACTTCCTTGAGGAGAGACGCCTTTTCTGAAACTCGATGAATGACTATATCTGGTGGGAAAAGAGTGAAAGTTTTCCAGGAAGAAGGGACTCAAGAACTACTCCTGTGGTACCAGAACTGCAAGCAGTTTGGTATGGTTAAAGCAAAATGGCATAACAGGACTTCACAGAAAATCCTAGAAATCCCAGAGTTCATAATCATGGAAAACCTTAAATTTCATGCTAAACAATTTGGAGTTGATCTTGCAGGCAATGGGAAGCTACCAGAGGCTTTTAATTAGAAGCAAGGCATAAACATGTTTGTGTTTTGTGTAGACCACTAACTTCTAGTTTGAGCATAGACTTTAGGAGGAACAAAACTAGTAAGGCCAGAAATGATAAAGGCCTAAATTAGGGAAATGGTAAAAGTTGTGGGGAAGAGAAGATAGATTTAATAACTTCTTTCAAGGCAAATTAGATCTGAAGATTGTCAGAGGCCATGTTTGGAGATTGTTTGGCCTCTTTACAAGAGCTATGGTGGTTTCTTTCCTTTTCTTCCTCTTCTTCCTCTTTCTCCTCTTTCCCCACCCCCAATTCCAGCCTCAATATTCCTTTCTTGACATTTGGGTAAGTTATCTCACCTCTCAGGTCTTCTCCAGATGGAAAACGTCCCTCATGTGAAAATTGGAAATGCTGATACCAACCTGATCTTTCCACAGGAGTGTTAAAAGGCTCAAATGAAAGAAGGGATGTGGAATCGTTTTGGAAATTAAGTCATTCCCCAGGTAGGCAGGGCATCATTGTGATTGTCATCTTCTACAAGGCTTTTTCTGATAGAGTGCTTTGTGCCAGATCTTCTGTTATGACACTGGCCGCAGAAGGTACTGTGGTCTCCTAGTCTCCTTTGAAGCACATTGAGTCTTTCTGCCAGATCACAATATAATCTCTTTAATCTGAACAACCTCTAAGAAACTGATTGGCCCTGAATTATTCGTCTTAAAAAATTCAGAGGTTTGCATCTGCCCTCTTTCTTATTCAATTAATCCAGGAATTAAGCACATTTTTTGTAGTCTAGTCTTTTATAGAGGTACCTCACCTGCCTTAGTCACTCTCAGATGAAAGAATTTGCTTCCTTTTTGTTAGTTATACACATAGGTGGGAGGAAGGCCATAAGAGGACCTGCTCCGAAAATACACTAATTAGCCAAGCTCTTGTGGCTCATGCCTAAAAGCTGAGCTACTCAAGAAACTGAGGGGCTCGGGCTGGGAAGGTGGCTCAGTGGTAGAGCGCTTGCCTTGCATGCCTGAGGCCCTGGGTTCGATTCCTCAGCACCACATAAGCAAAAAGAAAAAACCCAGAAGTGGCACTGTGGCTCAAGTGGTCAAGCGCTAGCCTTGAGCTGAAGAGCTAAAGGACAGCACCCAGGCCCAGAGTTCAGGCCCCACAACCAGACCAAAAAAAAAAGAAACTGAGGGGCTGGGAATATGGCTTAGTGGTACAGTGCTGCCTAGCATGCATGAAACCCTGGGTTCGGTTTCTCAGTACCACATAAACAGAAAAGGCCAGGGGTGGCACTATGGCTCAAGTGGCAGAGTGCTAGACTTGAGCAAAAGAAGTTCAGGGATTGTCCCAAGTCCTGAGTTTAAGCCCCAGGACTTGCCAAAAAAAGAAAAGAGAAGAAACTGAGATCCACATAATTGGATTTGAAGTCAGCCTCATGCAGACAAGTCCATGGGACTTCATCTCCAAGTGATAGAGCACAAGCCAAGCAAGTGAGAGGTCCCAATTCAAACCCCATTACTGCCAAAAATGAGTAAGAATGACAAGCTGGAAGTGGTACTGTGGCTCAAGTGGTAGAGCGCTAGCCTTGAGCAGAAGAGCTGAGGGACAGCACCAAGTCCAGAGTTCAGGCCCCACGACAACCCCCTCCCCCCCGCCAAAAAAGAAACGGTTGTTTGTAGAAATGGGAATAGGAAAATATGGAATGGGGCAAGGACAACAGTTTATTTCCTTCCTAGTAAGTCACTTCCCCTCTGAGCCTTCCATCCTTCCACTTCAAAGGTGGTGATAGCCAGGCACTGGTAGCTCACGCCTGTAATCCTAGTTACTCAGGGAGCTGAGATCTGAGGATCGCTGTTCAAAGCCAGCCCAGGCAGGAAAGTCCATGAGACTCTTATCTCCAATTAACCACCAGAAAACCGAAAGTGGCACTGTGGCTCAAGTGGTAGAGCTGCCTTGAGCTGAAGAGCTGAGGGACAGCACCTAAGGCCCAGAGTTCAAGCCCCATGACCAGCAACAACAACAACAAAAAAGATGGTGATAGCTCCTGCAAGAGTTGTCTTAAAAGCCACATGCTCTGACAGTGGTAGGCATTTCTTTATAATTTATAGAATACTGTTTATATTTTGAACCACTGTTCCCTATTGCCACCACAGTTGTCTCTTGCTTAGTATCCTTTTCAATGGTTCACTTCCCTTTCTACCCCCTTAAGTCTGAGAGTGAGGCATGTCATTGTAAATTTGTCACTCCTCTGCTGCTCACCTACCTATCACTAAGAAAAGTCAGTGGTATACAAGACCCTCTATTATCCACACCACTACATCACCTCTCTCTCAGTATACACAAGCATGCCGCTCAATGCCATTGCATGCCATTTTCTCCCTCATTCCCTGTCTCCAGCATGCTGACCTTCCTGCTAACTTTAAACATGCCAATCATTCTTCTGCCTCAGGCTTTTGCTCATATTGTCCTTTTAGGGATACCTCTCCTTACCATCATCTAAATTGTGGCCTCTCCTAGCATCTTATTCTAATGGAAGTAGGCTGGTAGAGAAACACAAAAATATAATAATATTGCATATGTGAATTGGCTTAGCCAATTTGGGCTTTTTGAGCTATTATAACAAAACTTAGTTATAAACTAATTGTCTTATCAACAAATTTATTTCTCCCATTCTAGAGGCTGGAAAGTCCAAGATAAAGGTATAACAGACCGTGTCTGATGAGGACCTACTCCTTGGTTGATGGGGGCTCTCTTATAGCTATAACCTTACATAGCCTAAGGCATGGGGGGACCTGTCAGTCCTGTTTTATTTTTTTTTAAGTATGAATCCCTCTTCAGATTCTACCAAAAGGTCCCAGCTCATAATATTATCACCTTAGGGATTAGAGTTTCAACACAGAAGTTTGGAGGGAACACAGATACTCAATTGATAGCATGTTTCTGTGTAATCCTATTATGTATATATGTGTGTGTGTGTATACATATATATATATGTATGTATAATGTCATTTGTATCTGTATATGTGATTCGTAGCCCTTAATTAGAGAAGTTAATCAGATGGTACAAGAAGGACACATTCCTGCATATACTTTGTCTCCTCTGCTCTCCAAAGTCTCTGCAGGTGGTGTCTCTCAGCATCACAGTGGACATTTAGAGCAGAGAGAAGTGACTGCTGGCTCAGAGCCCCCTTCAACTTCATATCTACTAGAACCTCTAAAAGCATTGCAATGTCTATGCTTCTAATAACATCTCCGGGTGCTGATAATAAGATATTGACACATGCATGGCAGGAATTCATGCCTCAACAGCCTAATGGAAAAGATAAAAATACACAAGTAACTGAATACTTAAGCATTTAACAAATGTACGTGAACATCTACTGTGGCAAAATGGACTCTTCTATGTGTTAGGGACATAAAAAGGAACAATGTAGAGCTTCCATTCTATAGAGAGGAGACAGATAATAAACAGGTGCATAAAATTATCCTGGTGGAGAGAGGTACTGGATTGTGAATGATGGTGGAAAATTGTGCTTTTACCAGATCAGGGAAGACTTCTATGAAATTGATACTTGAGAAAACACCCAAATATTAAGTCAGGAACAAAAAGATCTGAACAAAAGTCATCCCGAACAAGTCACAAAATAAGAGTATGACCTGTGACGAAGCAGAAAGAAGACTGGGGTGGGGGGACGGGGCAGAGAGTGCAGTGTGGGAAGCAAGACAAAAGGAGGAGGGCAGTGATAGAGAGCCTGAGAGCCACTGGTTAGCATAGTAGGGAACTCAGATTCCTTTTTATAGGATTGACTTAATGTACTGCTTTCTAAAGAATCATCTGGCTCTGTATAGAGAATAGAATACTAGTATGGTGGAATGGAACACTGCAGAATTAGCAAAGACGAGGTAAAATGCTTTGAGAGACCACTTTTTTCAGGATTTGATTAGAAAAGCTCTATAATAGAGCTGGTCCTTGAAGCAAAAACATGCTTAGGTAAGATGGTGTTTGCCTGAAGAAAAGGAGAAATTGAAAGAAAAGGAAACATTTCAGGCAGAGGAAATAAACATTCAAAGGATCAGGATGGGGCTGGGAACGTGGCTCAGTGGTAGAGCGCTTGCCTTGCATGCCTGAGGCCCTGGGTTCGATTCCTCAGCACCACATAAGCAAAAAGAAAAAAGCTGGAAGTGGCGCTGTGACTCAAGTGGTAGAGCACTAGCCTTGAGCTGAAGAGCTAAGGGACAGCACCCAGCCCAGCGTTCAGGCCCCACAACCGGACCCCCAAAAAAAAAAGGATCAGGATGTTCCAAATGCAGAGATCCCAGATCCCACAAGGGAAATGGGAAAAGGTACATTTGAATCAAGACTGAAATAACAGCTATCAACAGAGCATTCAGTTGACGTTGAGATTGTTTGCTCCCTTAGTATATGACATTGAAATGAGAACCTGCAGGCCCCTTCCTAAGCTGCTGCCTGGTTCTCCCATTTATTAGTATTTCTCTCCCCTTTGCTGTGAGTTTTCAACCACAGGACTTTCATTCTCTCCTTAGCCAGGTTTATAGACTTGCTATTCCTTCTGTTCTGAATACTGTATCCTGAGGATAGCTTCTCACCTTCCAGATCCCTTTGTAAAACACCATCTTCATCAGATTATTTTCTGGGCCTTTACCTAACGTGACTGTCCTTTGCTTGCTTTAGGACTTTTACCCATCATAGGCTGACTTGACCCATTTACTTACCCATTTATTGTCCCTTCCCTCTTGACAGCAGGATCTGCTTTAGTTTAACTGTCCTCAAAAAAGCCTGAGACAAGGGTTTGGGACAAGTCTTTTGTGTTCAAATATAGAACCCCTTTAAGTCTTACAGGCTTAGAAGAGAACTCAAAGTATTATCTATTACGTTTCCCTCTAGACCCCAAGAATTTGGCTCTGACATCACTTGGCTACCAGGGTCTCTAGAAATGATCCCCCAAACCCTAATTTCTCCTACTGAACTCAAATGATCCCCTGTCATCATTGATACCTCAAAAATTTATGGCCTCTGATTCAAGCTGAATCTTACCTCAATGGAAAATTCCTCCATTTCTAATGCTAAGACCTACCCTGCAGAACAAGGATTTGAGTTTCCCTTTGTGGAAATTTCACTCCCAGTCGTCTACTGGTGTTTGAGCACTGCTGTGAGCATTACCTGTAGGGCCCCTTATGTGCCAGGGAGTAGTGGGGACAGGCCAGCCAGTCTGTGTCTGTGATGTAATGCCCTCCTGTACTGCAGGCTCCGGCCGATACCTGGAAAGCCGAGACACTTCCCGACTGAGTGACCAGGACCCTTCCTTGTGGACAGTGGAGGACGTGATGCAGTTTGTCCGGGAAGCCGACCCTCAGCTTGGACCTCATGCTGAGCTCTTTCGAAAACATGTAGGTGACCCTGCCCAGCCTCTCCATTTGCTGAGTTTTGCTACTACAATTTGTTTGGCTCTAAAAGGTTGTCATAGACTATCCCAGATCCCTTGAAGCAGACTGCAGTGAACGCTATAAAATATAGAACCTTGGGCCTCAAACAGACTTCAGTGTTTATCTCAATGTTTTAGCTCAGGCTATTTGGCCACATCCCCACTGGGTATATGGCCTGGAGCTCAATTCCTGGCACAGGTATCTGCCTCTTTTCCCAAGAGTGTTTGTTTGCATGCTGTCTTGGCATGGGAATCTGGGGCCTCAGCCCAAGTTAAAGGATCCTTTTCAAGTGGTACCCATATTCGCTCTGACTTGGTTGTCTATCATTGCTTGCTCTTTTGTGAATTTACAGCATCTCTTCAAGGGGGTATTTGGTCCTGTGGCCAGACATTGCTCATGACCACTCTGATCTGGCCACACTCTTGCTATGGACTCCATCTTGTATCCCCAGTCAGCTACAGCTTGATGCTAATTTTTCCTGTGGACACTCAGAGGTCTGCTGCCTGGCACTGGTTATATAAACATTTAGTGCAGGGTGGGCTTGCAGGGGCTTCAGAGCAGGCCAAAAAGTTCACAGATGCCCACTGAGTGCTGCTTTGGGCCCAGCTTACACAGAAGGGTCTCTACTGTTCTGGAGAAGTGCTGAATCACAGAACTGCAGCTAACGGTTAAAGTCAATACCAGCTGTATGGGTTCATTGACTGGGAGGCTTATAGGAAAGATGGAGTTGAGCTGGTCTTAGAAGCTTAGAGGTAGGGATACAGACCCCTGGGCAGGCAGCAAAGAAAAGAACATGGTATGAGCTGTGTGAAAAGCCCAACCTGCTGCATTCAGCAGTGCATTTCATGAAGGATGCTTCCACGTACCAGCATCCTGACTGCATTCCATTTGGTTGCCACTTCCCGGGGGCCTTTAGCCAGAACCTGAGATGATTAAGCCAACCAGGCCTCTGATTATGCTTCAAACTCCGTGTCTACCCTCCATTCCCACTTCCAGGAGATCGATGGCAAGGCTCTTCTCCTGCTGCGCAGTGACATGATGATGAAGTACATGGGCCTGAAGCTGGGACCTGCGCTCAAACTCTCCTTCCACATTGACCGGCTGAAGCAGGGCAAGTTCTGAACAGGAGCCACACCTAGACAACTGATCAGTTGGGCAAAAGAGGCATTCTTTCCAGAAAGGAGGCTACCAACCTACTCCTAGGTGCCTAGGTGGGGTTCTGGGTCACCTTATGACTTGATGAGGCTGGGGAGCCACCACTGCTACCCATTCCTGCCACGATACCTCCTTCCATGAAGGATGGGGGATGGGAAAGTATGGGCACAGGGCCAGAGCTGCTCTTCCTCAGCCCTCCGTGGCACCCAGGTCCCCTCTACTTATTTCTCAATCCTGGCCAACTCTCACTAGGAGTATAGACTGAGCATTTTGTAAGTGATGGAGATAAAGGCCAATCCTGGGGCCTTAGAAGGCCCTCATATCTGGGCCCCTCACCACTTCCTGGGCTTAGTATGACATCCTATGGTCCCAATTCCTGCCTTCTCACCAGATCCACAGACTCCAAATTCATGGTGCAAACCTCTACCTTTTTTAAAAAAGATGTTTTCTTATTGCTAATTTATTATTCTGGCACTTAGGCAAACCCCTCTGGTTATTGCTTATCTTGCACCAGACACTGAATTTGGAGAAGAGGATGCCCCCTGCTTGGCCTCAGAGAGGTCCTCTCCAGTATCTGTCGCCCCTTTTCAGAGAACACTGCACTAGGGTATAGTTTCCTTGGAGCTGTTTGTTGTGTTTGGGAAGGAGAGAGTCTTATATCCCCACCACCACTAGGCCCTTTGTAGCCCCAGGCCCATCTGTGAGATGGGAGTTCCACACTGTCTCCTTGCCCTTACCAGAATTGCTGCCGAAGGACCTAATGCCTCTAGGCCAAGAAGGCCCTGGGGTAGAAGAAGGGAGGGCCTCCAGCCTGGAGTAGTTCTGCCCTTCCACTCACTCTCCCGTGCTTCCTTGTAAGCAAAGTAGCAGCACTGCTGCTCACGCTGCCATCTGGACTATTTTATGTCTATTTGTTTATAAATAAAAACCAATATAGATGCCAGTGTCTTTTTAACCAGTTGACAGCTCCAATCACTGTGCACTCAGTGAGCAGGCCATTCCCCTTCTCTTGGTCTTGGTTTTCTCAGAGGATCCCTAAAAGTTCTCCTATTCCAGCAGCCCTATGGAACAGGTTATCTTTAATGTCCTGAGGCCAGTACCCCTTAGGCTCCTAAGGGAACATCATGAATCCAGGATCTACACTCAAAAGGCTTTGCTCTGTGCAGTCTGGAAGCAGTGTGAAGACGGGAAAATACAAGGAGCCTTCAGTGGCTGGCTTCTTATCTTCATGGAGTAAGGAGAGAGGCAGGGACAGCACTGGCCAGGGCCTCTCAAGCTCAAGGCCACATACTCTGCTCATAATGGAGGTGACAGGGTTTTTAGGCAGTGGAGGAGATAAAGGAAGCCATAGATTTAGGTCATATAACTAACATTTTGGTATCACTTCCCATGTGCCCTATAAATGGCTCGACCTGAATTAGAATCATCCCCAAAAAAATTCAATTATAGCTGGGCACTAGTGGCTTATGCCTGTAATCAGGAGATAGATACCTGAGGATCACAATTTTAAGCAAGCCTGGGCAGAAGTAGAGCTGTGGCTCAAGTGGTAGAGTGCTAGCCTTGAGAAAAAAAAAAATTCAGGGACAGCACCCAAGCCCTGAGTTCAAGCCCCAAGACCAGAAAAAAAAAAAAACCATTTACATTGTAAACGAGACACCCTCACAAAGCAGTGGTAGTGGAAGCCTCAGCTGTCCAGCTACTGAGAGAATAGCTCACAGCTGTAAGAGCCAAGGAACACTAGAGGGGAGACACATAGAACTTCAGCTATTGTTCCATGACTCTAAAGCTGTGGATACAGCCAAAGCAGACCTAGCTGCCAAGGTGGGTAAGGACAGGGCACCTCAATCTCTCCAGAATCTCATGCTGTCACCCTTTGGGCCTGGGGTCTCGTTCTTGCTCCTCCCACACCATCTCTTTTCTCAAGTCATCCATCTGAGCCCTCCCTCCAACCCTGAGGCCAACAAACCTTCAGGAACAGCACCAGGATGGCTGCCATGAGGTAAGTAGCCTTCACTGCACTGTGAAGCTGTTGCTGGTGGAAGCATTGCCTGTGGTTTCACCCTGATTCCTCATAATCGAGGCTTCCAGCAGTGTGTTCAAGTGTATAATGAGAAACACTTGCCTTAGCCCTTCCTGCATTCACAGAGGCTGCACATCACCTGGCTTGGCTCCCATCAAGCAGCAGATAATAGCCCTGCCCCTTAAAAAGCACAGTGCTTCACTGTTTGTTTGTTTTTTAAGCAACTTTTGTCTGTGGCATAGAGAAGTGTCTGGTGTCAGGGGGACCTCTAGACCCCTCCCAACAAGTTTTGATCTATCCTGGAAGCAGCTGGGCACTGAATGTGCTCAGTGCAGTTTGGGTTTATGACCAAGGAGAAAGTAGAGGCTTTATATAATACGACTACAGAGAAGGCAACTGGGGGCTTGCATGGGCTCAGGAGCCTGAAGGAGGGAGAAAGCACATCTTCAGTCACTGGATTCCAGAAACTGCCTAGAGTGAGTCCCATGGCCAAACTGGCCTGACAATGTAGACTATCCTGACAATGTAGAGCAGGACCCCAGAGAGTTGGAGAGGCATGTCACTGTTTGATGTCCTCAACCCTGCCTGCCCGCACCTGACCCAGAAGGCATTGTTGACCAGCGTGAGATCACAGAGGCAGTTGTGCAGGCTCCGCCCACTTCCTTGAACTCTAGTTCTTGCCTACATGCCAAGCCCCAAGTGCTGTGGGAACTGCTGGCTAGGGGCCAGGGAGCTGTGGAAACACAGGTATGGTAACACCCATAGAACCCCAGTAGCCAGCAGGACTAAAGGTCACAGGCCTCCTCTTTTCTCCTCTCCTGGTTTGCCCTGAATTACTCTAGCTCCAGGCCCTGGCTATCCCAAAGATCCAGTCCAGAAAGATGTAAAGCAATGTTGCTGCCTCCCAAGCTGGAAGCTGGTGCGGGGGGGGGGGGGGGGGGGGGGGGGGGGGGGCGGGGATAAGTGGAGGGCTTGTGTGTGCAGAATTCTGGCTTAGGAGTGAGGGGCAAGGGCTCAATTTGGACCATCATTCTGACCTTCCTCAAGTTATATATACAAAGGCCATTCTACTTGAGAGGGATCAGTGATTTTGTTCATGGGCCAAAATATGTAATAACCTATACCTAGCCCTGACTTAGACTGTGAGCAGTTTTAGATTAGGTGGTAGAAAGCAGGCAAAGGCCTCTTATACAAAAGGCTTCTTTAAAGGTTCTCTCCAGATGCATGGAGACAGTAAAAATCTTCCAGTTGGTTCAACTAGGAATACTCTAGACTGTGTGCACTTCCCCCCACCTCCTTTTCTCTCTCCACCCTTTTCTCTTTCCTCTAGCCTTTCTCTCTTACCCTGCCCAGCTTCAGCTAGTGTGTGAACTCCAGAGGCTGTGGGCTAATCTGAGAGACCAGGGCCCAAGAAGAGCAGCCAGCACTGAGGAATCCAGTATCCCTTCTGAGCAAGACCCACCATGACCCCAAGGAAAAGACCAGCTCAAACACCAGTGTTGGGCCCCCAAGACAGGCATCCCCGGCCAGCACTCCCCCCTAAAGAGCCCCTGGCTGAGTCCAAGCCCTTGGACCATGACACAGTTCCCAGCACACACACACTCTATATTGGCAACCTGAACCCCCAATTCTCAGCACCTGTGCTGGCCTGCCTGCTGCGAGACACCCTAGAGCAGCTTGAGCTGCCCGTGGCACGGGAGCACATTGACGTGGTGAGGCGGCCGAGGAATGCCTATGCATTGGTGCAGGTAACCACACAGAAGGCCACCCTGGCCTCCCTCCCCTGGCGTCTGCAGATGGCCTTGGAGAAGCAGCTGATCCTCAAAGAGCTGACGGCTCGTGGGAAGGAACTGGTGCTGAGTGAAGACTCAGTGCCCCTAAACCACAGAGGGGTGAGCAAGAATTCCCCAAGTGAGGCCCCAAGGCACACTGGTCTGGGGTGAGGGTGGGGCGAAGGCCTGAATATGTGTGGCTGAGGAACTGGGACAAATCTGTAGCTGTGAGGCTGCTACTTAATGACTCCCTACTTTTACCAGGAGGGACTGCACTTGCAGAGCACCTCCAGGCTGAGTTTGACTAATCAAAGGCCTTGTGAGACTCTTCCCTTGGACCTTTTGTATTCCACACACTGGGTCCAAAGACCTGTGGGTACACATGGGTTCTGAGTTTTTCCATAGCCCATTTCTTCTGTTCAGAGCAGAGCACCATCCACTCTGTTCCCACAGTGTGCAGCAGAGTCCTAGGTTCCAGGCTTTGCCCTCAGGAAGTCCTCCAGTCATAGGCAGAGCAAACAAAACAAAACCAAGGTGGCTGGGAAAAGAACAGAAGGGCTCTCACTGCTTACTGATAATCAAATCCAGAGGATTTCAATCCAGGCTTGGACTTAAGAGTTGGACAGGCTATCAGGGAGCTCCAGCTAGAAACTACAGGGTCTGTTGAGGAAGGAGGTTGGGCCACAGAGTCACCATGCTGTAGCCGAGGCAGAGCAAGGTAAATGATCTCTTTGGAGTACAAACCCATTTTGTCTGAACTGATATCGAACCAAACTGCTTCATGACATTTCAAAGTGCAAGTGCCTTCTCTCATGTTTGCAGGAGACTTCTTTCATGTCTCTGAGGATGACATTTGTTTTCTCTAGGAAGCTACTAGGCTGGCAGAGCTATGCATCTCACTTCCATGTACCAGCCCATGCTAGATGCCCAGCTCTATAGAAGCAAAGGCAGTAGGAAGCTAGGACAAGGTTTCAAGGGCAGATGGCCATCTGACTTGTATTAGTGCTTGTGAAACAGCAGCCAAGTGATGAGAGGAAGAGAGACTGAGTAATGAATCCCAGACTGGGAAGTGGCCATGAAGACATACAATGCCCATTGCGCTGTGACAGAACAGAAGCCATAGAGGGAGGGACCAAAATGTGGCAGTAGTCTAGGAAATAGGCATTTTCTAGGGAGAATAGGAAGAGGATGAGCTTTCTCAGTTTAAGGGCCTGAGGTTTCTGCACAGAAACCTCAGGCCCCAGGGACATCATAGGACTATCACCCAAGGGGACAGATTGACAAATATGCCAGCTCCCACCTTAGAAAGCAGCAGTCTTCAACCCAGTACCTTGAAAAAGCCCAGGGACTGATTTGAACCCTTGAAGTAGCAGGAAAGGTGTGCAGGAGAGTAGGGTAAGTGGGGCCACTCAGTCTCAGAGGGGACACCAAGACACCTATGGAAGCTGGACCTGGGAAGGGATACAGCTGGGGTCCAACAATCTCACAGCAGGAGCTCTCTTCTACCTGGGCCTATACACCCTGCTCTTAAATTTCACCCCAGCAGGAGGAGGACAGTGGTCCTAGCCCAGGTCCCAGCCCTGGCCCCAGCCCCAGTCCTGGATTCAGCCTCCCACCATCAGCCTGGCCGGCCAACTTCTCACCTAACCTGGACTGGGCCAGGCCAGGGCATATTCCCCATAACCGGCCTAGTGGTGTGCGATCTGATAGTGCCATTGAGCATCAGGAAATTCAAGGCCAGGAGCGACTCTTCCAGGGTGCCTTCCTGGGCAGTGAGACACGGAACATGGAATTCAAGCGGGGAAGCGGCGAGTATCTGAGCTTGGCCTTCAAGCACCACGTGCGGCGCTACGTGTGTGCTTTCCTCAACAGTGAGGGTGGCAGCCTGCTTGTGGGTGTTGAAGACACTGGCCTGGTGCAGGGCATCCACTGCAGCCACCGTGAAGAGGACCGTGCCCGCTTGCTGGTGGACTCCATCCTTCAGAATTTCAAGCCCCAAGTCTTTCCTGATGCCTACACCCTCACCTTCATCCCTGTCATCAGCACCTCCACCAAGAGCATGCCTCTCAAGGTGATCCTGCAGGTCAGGCAGGACTGTCATCTGTCACTGACCAGCAGGACTGTGGCCATGCTACCACCACACTGCTGAGCAGTACTGGGGTGGGAGTTGGCACATGGAGTAGGGAGCTGGGGAAAGGAGCCTACCAAGCTTCTTTAGGGTGCTCCAGGGCTCAGGGAACCTGCATAGGGTTGAGACTGCCAGGCATGGATGCCACACCTGAGCTGCTGTTTCTCCTACCAAGGTGCTCCGCCTAACTGTGCACACCCCCAAGACCCAGGGCGAGCCACAGCTGTATGAAACAGACCAGGGGGAGGTGTTCCTGCGGCGTGATGGGAGCATCCAGGGCCCACTGTCGGTCACGGCCATCCAGGAGTGGTACAGGCAGGTGAGGAAGCCCTGGCCCCCCTGCCAATTATGGAGCAGTCCCAGGCAAACCTGTGGGTGCTCCCTGGGTTCTGCAACAGCCCATGAGCACACAGTAAGGCTTGAGCGAAAGGAACTCCACCTCCTATACTGCGTAGTTCAGTGATGGCTGGGAGAGAGGCCTTCTTTCTATATTCTTTCTCACACTACCTAACACCTTGGTGATGAAGGCTCTCTGTTGAGTGGCCAGGGAGCAGGGACACTGGAAGACTGAAGACTGAGAAGGAATCCCCAGGCCTATGTGCAGCATTTAGGGGAGGGGTGAGCAGAGTGCTAGACTCAATCCCAAGGAGCCTTTTCTAGAGGGAACTATCAGGTGATAGAAAAACAGCTTAGGACCAGGAGAGCAGTGAAAAGGGTATGGCCAAGTGACAATCCATGCTTGCCATGGTGCCTAGGAGGTGCTGAGGACAGCTGTCTCATATCCCTGTTTCAAAGTTACAGACTGTACCATGGCTAGCTCTCCCCTCCCCCAGCTATAGTTAACTGCAAAAGAAAAGCAAGCCCAGGACAATGTCAGTATGATCATCTGCTGCCACACTTTCCCCTCAGAAGTGGACAGCAGTACTGGGCAAGCTGGAGGAGAAGGTGAAGGTGCTGATAGCGGAAAAGGAGCAACTCCAACAGCAGCTGCAGCTGCAGCAGCATAACCGTATGTCATGCACCTGCTGTGTCCTGTGAGGCCCACTACAGGTGGGCAGTACCCTGCAGTGCTCTGCGGAGCCAGGCACAAGCTCTGACCCAAGCTGTCCTAGCAACAGAACACAAGTGGACCTGGTAGAGGTTGATGGAGGCTCAGGCCACATCTCCTTCAGCACTGTACTCTGGGAACCTGTGGCTTCACTGACCAGATAGTGTAGCTGAGAAGCTGCTCTTAGCACATCCCCCCCTACCCCCCCAGGAACCTTGGCCAGTCAGCCTAGAACTGAGCTCCAAAAGGCCTGCCTTCCTAAATATTGCCTTGGCCAAGTTGGATCCAAGACTCCAGAGGGCTAGACAGTGCCAGAAAAGATACGTCATCTTGGAAGTTCCCAGCAGCCAACAAGGTATATGTGGCAACTGGGTATGGAGCAAACAGGCCACCCTGCAATCCACTGACTCAATGCAATTTGTGATTATCAAAGCCCTTTAATAAAAAATTGTATGCACAGGGAAAACAAATGGTTATTTCTAGGACATTTGGTCAAGCAGCAGAAACCCAGCTCCCACCTCCCATCATAATCAGGTGGGGGGAGGGGGGAGGGAGGGGAGGCATTTCCTGGACCAAGCACAAATGCTCTAGGACCATGCTCTAGTGACAACAGCAGGTCACCAAACTGTCACCCACTCTGCTGCCCCCTAGAATCACGGAAGCTGAGAACTACACAAAGAATGCATGCCTCTGGCCAGAGTACAGCATTTCTATGCATCACAGGTGTGATGCTAGCTTGATGCTAGCCCAGGCATTACCATCCTCAGAAATTCTTTAAGTGGGAAGCAGCCAGTTTCTAAAAGCAGGTGAAGTCAGAGTGAGTGTAGCAACACCAGCCTGCTCAGAACCACCTGCCAAGCCCCTGGATCTAAGAAATGCTTCTCATCTAAGGACTCAGTACAGGGATGCTGCTGGGTAGAGAACAGTCAGGGCATTGACCAGTTGGAAACAGCCTGCAAGTCTACCCTCCAGTGTTTTGGCACAGCCACTATAGTAAGCCACGTGTAATCTCTTTTCTCAGAAGGTTGTTCAGGAAGCTAGCACATTAGTTGACTGAGGCAGTTCACCCGGGGCACAAACATGACGAGAGGTTCTTTGACCATCCACCAATATATACATACCCAGCCATGTCCTCGCTGTTGTAGGGACATGCTGTCCCCAGAGGGCAAGGCTTTGGGGGCACCTTCCATTGGTGTGGGAGAATAATAGGACCACTGGGTGAAAAGTCAAAAGCATATTCAACCAGCCATACTCTGAGCTTCAAGACAAGTGTAATGATCTCCATAGGCATGGAGAGTAACAGTTTAATAAGAAAGGTTTTCTCTGTCTAGCCAGCTTTAATTCTGCTGTGCTGCTGTGCAGCAGAACTATGCTACTACTACTACACCATCCTGCCCCTCCCCCGCCCCCCAGTCATGGGGCTTGCACTCAGGGCCTGGGCATTGTCTCTGAGCTTCTTTTTGCTCAAGGCTAGCACTCTACCCCTTGAGCCACAGCACCACTTCAGGCTTTTTTCTGTTTATGTGGTACTGAGGAATCGATCCCAGGGCTTTATGTATGCTAGGCAAGCACTCTACCACTGAGCCACATTCCCGGCCAATTGTCTCTTAGTTTTAAACATCAGATCACTCACTGGAGGCTATACCCCTGGAAGAACCCTGGCTCAATGCCCAAACACAGGCAGCCAATAGTTCTCAGGCCTCTTATTTCCCTGCCTGGCTAACAATAAAAACAATAAATGAAGGCTGCCTTTGATTCTGAATTATTTATTTAAGTTAGGAGTATAACATTGAGTCCAGTCAGAATAGAATAGGCACTTGGCCATCCCACTGTTAACATCACGCTAAGAAAATAACTTTTCATATTGCATTTCAACTGAAGTTAACACCATTCTGGAAGAAAAAGTACCCTCGAGTCAAAGCTGTCAACATGAGAGGGCTTTATAGGCAATTTTTCCCAAAAAGATTCTGGCTTTTTAAGTGACCCCTTGATGCAAGGAGTGTTCCCAGCCCCAAGAATAGAAAGCACAAAGGCTTAGGGTCTTTACATCCCACTTGAGAGATACAGATATCTTGCTGTTTCATGTGACACTGAACTGAATGTCCCTTTGGGTGAGGAGCAGTAGCTCTTGTCTCACTGCTCTGAGAGGCAATGACCATAGTTACTGGCACCAAGTGTGAGACATACTGGCTAAAATGATCAAGTGTTTGGTGAGTCCACGTGGCACTCAAATCCACAGTGACACGAGGTAGTTGGAGAAGCAAGGTGGTCCATGGGCTTCTACCAGCCCACCCATTATCAGTTCCCATCCAAACATCCAGCTTGTCTTAGGAAACTCACAGATTGTGCAGAAATGTGCTACATGACAGGCAAGTACATCATGAAGTAGCCAGTAAGTGATGGGACATGCAAGTGACAAAGTTTCCAAATACCTTTCTCCGTAATAAAATAATCTTAATAAGAAACATAATTTAAAGGAAGTGTCAAAAGCTGAGTGTAAAATCATAGCTGTAAACTCTATCAAAGTCAGAGTCTCTTGAAGAATCATTCCTGTTTAAAAAAACAAAACAAAAAAGCAATTACATGATGTCTGTTAATATAGAAACACTAGAATATCCTCAGCTGCTCTGAGAAACTATTTTTAATAGAACAGTGGTTGGAGCTATATTTCTAAATTCTACAGAATCACACAAAGACCTTGGAGTGACCTCTCCTTTGCCTAAATATAAGCACTCTTCCCACAGCTTCAGGCCCACCAGTGGGTAAGTCTCCATGTAATTAACCAAATGCCTTTACTGTTACTATCCTTTCTCGCATCCGTTTCTTAGATCAAACAAGCAGCCTATGGCAAAACCCCTTCGTGTGGGATATATTAGTGAGGGCATGGTATCACATGCACACCTAGCAGAGCAAGCAGCCTGCTCACCTCTCTAAAGTTAGCCCAGGTCAAGCAGCCAATCAACAAGGCACAAGGGGAATCAGTCAAGATCATAGCATCAGACCAGCCACTGGGTCAGCATCAGAGCCCCTCTGGAGAAGGATGCCTGGGACACAGGATCCAGATAGGGCTGCCCACCCCATGCCTTAGGGCAGGAACTATCTCACTCAGACCCTAGATTCCTGGTGCCCTCTCTGACTTCTGGGCCCCTCAGAATCTGCAATTCTGTCAACAGCCAACACTATAAACAGATTTCTACAATTCACACAGTACCCATAGTTACTTCAACTTTATACTCACTAATGCTATCACTGTCAAGACAGACATTCAAAGTCTGTTCAATAACTGGACCAAGCTGGGTACAAGCAGTGTCAGTTCTGAAGCACTTCCAGTTAAGACCTTGAGGCCCTATGAAATGATATGCCATAACTGTAAGGCCCACTACTACACATATCTCAGATTTATAGAGGGGCCTAAACACTTCCCCTAGTTGGCTCCAGAGAACCTGCATGCTGAAATGAGTCCCCAGAAGTACCTAGAGAATGATGTGGATAGGCCAGCTAATACCCACACTGGCCTTACCACCACCAAATGCTTGATAGTATTACAATGATATTGCCATTTAAAAAAAAAATAAACTAAAGTTTGAAGGCATCACATTACCAGATCAATCATGATTTATCGATGGAAACTTGAGCTCAGTGATTTCCGAGTCGGGGGAGCTGCTCCCACTTCTGTCACTGTAGGTGTCCCTGTAGGATGTATAAGGTTTATTCCTCATCTCTCACCAGAATCTCACTTCTAACTCCCTGCTTCGTAGCTGCCATTACTACAGGGACATGTGTCCTCAAAACAGCAGACATCTGTTGACCACAAACGGTTCTGAGACCATAGAGGGATTTGTTTTAGTTAGGAGAGACAACCATTTTCCTTGTCTTGATCTGCTAACCACAGCAGCCAGATCTGGATAATGGCAGCAATGGGAAATAAACCCACTGGTTGGAGCCCACTCCTCATGGAAACCCAAAGTTTCTTTAACATGGACCCAAGGGGTCCTCTGCCAAACACGATCTGTTCAGCATCATCACCAGAACCTGACCACTGCAGAGAAGGGGTCTGGCCAACATGCAGAGGAGCAGCTTAAAAGACTCCATGGGAAGACTCCATGGAAATGTGAGGAACATATGGCACCCCATCTATGGACACCGCCCAGTTCTTCTTAGGGATTCACTAAGTTACACCTCACTGCAATACATGGTATGACCATGTCTCCCCCCCTCCCCCCCCAAAGCCAGTTTAGGGGCAAGAGAAGATGAGGCATTTGTTACTGAAGCAGTGTCCCCACCCACCTGGGAGAAAGCCTGCAGCCTTTCTGGAGGTAATGTGGGAGACGCCCCACAGAGGCCAGGAGAAGGCCAAAGTAGGGTGGGGAGGGCTTGATGGGCCTGGACAGGAACTCAGGGTGGTACTGAACCCCAACAAAGAAAGGATGATCTGAAACGAATTCAAAAGGATCCATTATGTATATTGTACATGAGTATGAAACAAAATCTTCACTGTCCAGGTACTCACCTTCCAGCTCTACAATCTCCATCCTCTCGCCTTCAACATCTTGGCCAACAAACTTTAAGCCTTGCTCCTCCAAGCACTTTTTCAAGACTGGATTCACCTGGTGAAGCAGAAAAATTAGGCCCCCTGTTACCATCTTTCTAGAGCAGTAGAAAGGAAGGGGTATGATTGCGTAATTCACCTCGAATCGGTGTCGGTGTCTCTCTTCCAAGTGGTCCACATCTCCATAAAGTTTCCCTGAGGGGGGGAAAAAAAATCAGGCTGATTTTACCAAGGACTTATTCACAACCGCATTCTACTTCCTGGTTCACTTTAATGTCCACATAGCCAGGCAATATTAACCCTGCCAACCAAACTTGGTTAGTTGCTCTAGGCACAGCTTCAACTAATTCTCAGGCTTCAGAGAAACAGGCTTTCCAAACCCCCTCAAATGCAGAACTGCTCAAAGACAAAGCATTCTGCTGCTAGACACAGCCTAAAGAA